TAGAGCGGCAAATGGTATACTATCGCGCGGCCCTGAAAATGGTATACTATCGCGCGATTTTGGGGCTAATCTGGAGCAAAACGGTAGACTATCGCGCGGTTTTGGAGCTTTCTCAATTGAGAGCACAATCAACTAAAAAACGAGTCGTTTGAGAATAATTGGTACAATAGTGGGATTCAAGATGGCCATCAAATCTTGATGGAATGACGAACGGGTCCAATCCAGCGATCTCATTGGCTAAAACTCCTGCAAAATTCAACAGCTCCATCAAGCTCCATCAACCATACATAGTTCGCCCGAACTGGCTACCTTCATCACTCAGAAGACCAAATGCTCCATCAACAAAAATGCTGATGGAACGTTTGATGGAAAAACGGGTCAAACGGGTGTCAGAGTCGCATGTCATCTTATTAGCGATTAAATCTCCATAGTGAGCGGCGCAACCATACCGATTTCTTCTTGGGTAGCGCCTGCCTTCTTCAAGGCCTCACGGGCTTGGGCCATCTTCTCAATGGCCGCAAACTTTGCGTGCACGAGCTTGGCATCCCCGACGAGAGTCGTCTCCATCGCTAGACGCGCTTTCTTCATGGCTACGCGCTCAGTGTCCAGGTCGACGCTCTTTCCTCGGCGACTAAGCGACCCCTCTCGATGGCGGAAGGATCGCCAGTCAAGCTCGAGAGCGTGGCCATGACGTCCTTGCTCTTGACGCGCTTCGTCGGAGGTCGAAACAAAGACCCTACGTGTGCCTTGGCTGGGAGCGCTTGGGTCGAAGACGAGCTCCCCGACGACTTGCGCATTCGAAACGACAACGCCGCGTCCGACCTGTGCGTAACGACTCGAAGGAACAAGAGCGGAAAAGAGCGCCGTCAAGCTTTGCTCGACAGCATTTGCAACGAAGAACACACTATGTGCGTGTGTATGTATCATCGGTCATCAAAGTGGGGTTCAAGTTGATCTTTTTTGATGGAAATGCACTCGACGCCACCTTTTTTTCGGCACTTCTGATTGGACAAAAATCGGCGAATTGTTTTTCCATCAAGCCGTTCCATCAAGATTTGATGGTCATCTTGAATCCCACTAATATGGTGGGAACAGAAGACGCATAAGAAGGTATAAACGTGTGCAATTGAGATGACATGGGTTATTTTGGTTGCGGGAGACTTCTCTGCGTCGCCGATCGTCGGACTGTGGACACGCAAGCGCGGCGAATCGACCTCGACGAAACTACGGGCGGAGTCCTCGATGAGTTCTGCGAGCTCTTGTACCTCAAACCATAGCTCTTCGGCGTCCTCGAAGCGAACCATCCAGGAGTAAACCTCGCCCTTGCGTAAGCGGATGATCGTACCAAGCATGTAGTCCGACGTCTCGCGGCCGGTCTCGGTGTCGATGAACGAGAACTCCCGGTGGATGGTCCAGTTGTAGCAGTAACCTGGTTTGTCGACGAGGAGCGCGACCAAGTTGGCAACCGAGTAGAACGGGTTGAGGGTCCCGTCCGCAAAAGTTGAATGTTGCGGCTTGCGCTGGCCACCGGGGCGACGACGGGGAGCGACTTCGGCGAGTAGAGCCTGCATGTCGAGGTCGCACATGATGCTTTGGGCCGCGACCGAGTGCGAGCAAATCCAGCCCGTGGTGAACGAGCCCTTGCAGTCGCACTGGTACTTTTCGGCAACGAGATCGACCTACGATAATTTGTTGGTGTGTTTCTTCGACGCCAGAAGGTCGGGTTACCTGGGCCGGCGTCCAAATAACATGCGCATCGGCCCGCTCAACTTCAATGTCGGCGTTGATGCGGACGTGGTGCTTCGAGACAAAGTTGATCTCGAGCTCATCCACCGTCGTGATGCCGCCGAGGTCGCCGGCAATGCTTCGCATGTACCTAACCGAAACGTGAACTAGTATGCAATAGATCACATCAAGCAAATGATCGTACGTGTCGACCCCTTCACGCGTGACCCTGGTAGGGTTGCGGGCGCTTGGACCAAACTGGTACTTGCTGGCATTCACCACGATTCACCGTAGAAGATGTCCGACTTGCCCTTGTACGTGCGGGTAGCGGCCCACTCGAGCAAAGCAGCGTAGGTGTTGACGCGGTAGCTCTCGGAAAGCGACTTTTTGAGCCAGGCCTGGTGGGCCTTGATCTGGTCTCGGCTCGGGAGGCTCGCGATGAACCTGGGACGGTCCTTGTACGTCTTGCGCAACTGCTCGAGCACTTTATTCGGGCCCAAGCCACCGCGCAGAAGAGCAGCGACGATTGGCTTCACAGCCTTGGGCATCCCAATGCGCCGCTTCGCTGCAGGGGCAGTGGCCAACATGGAGCGCGCGGCCGCCATTGCACCCGGGAGGGCCAGTTGACCACGCCGAGCAATCGATCGATTGGAGCTGGTCGCGCGAGGAGCGGGTGCTTGATCTCCTTGGTCTCGGTGGTGGACAACGTCACCGCCCATGTTGATCGCGACAAGCCCGTGGTTGTCCCGGCTCTCGACAACGAAGCCATCATCGGGGCTCTTGTCCTTGACGATGCGGACACGGTGAGGGCAGTTGAGGTGCGAGACGCAGATAAACATCGTGTGCGTGCCGCTCGAGTGCTTCCAGCGCAACTGGTAGCCG